AGGAGAGGCGAGCACGTTGGGCAGACAGGTTGCAAGAAGCGGCAGCAGGATCAGCTGGTGGTTTACACACGCTGAGCAAGGCTGCAGCAGTATGGAGACCACGTAGGGCCGGCTCTATGGAGGACTCGGCGGACCCCATCGAGGCAGCGGAGTACACCCTCAAGGAGTGGAACGAGGTCTGGAGGGTCGGCGAGCAAATCCAGAAGCTGGCTAGGCCGTGGGAGCGCGAAGAACGCGACAAGCTCGAGCCTTCACTGACCAGGACGTGGACAAGCATAAGGAGGTAGCCCGCACCTTCGGAAAGAAGACGGGGGTAGGAGTCGACAGGTGGCACCCCTCCATGTTGCAGGGTGCGTCGGATGAGGCACATGTCAAGCTGCTGGACTTCTACATGGAGGTGGAGCGGACATTGCGCTGGCCCATCCAGATGGGCACTGTTCTGTTCTTCATGATCCCGAAGACCTTCACCACGGACAGGGTCATCGGGCTGCTGCCCACTGCCATCAGAGTGTGGGAGGTCATGCGGGAGCCGTGCAGGGTCGAGTGGGCCAAGAAGAATTATCGGAGCTGGGACTGCACGAGCTACGGCAATGTGGCGGAGGACGCGGCCTGGGAGGTGTTGCTCAGCCATGAGATGGACGATGTGGAGGAGCAGAGCGAGGAGGCGCAGGCGACGGTCACGGCGGTTCTGGACTTGGTAAAGGCCTTAGAAGGTCAGCCGGCACGTGTTGTGGGCAGCGGGCAGGCAGCTCAACTTCAACACAGGGGTGCTGGCAGTGGTGTGCTCCTACTTCGCCATGACCAGGCGCCTCATCGTAGGTGACTCGGTGTCCAGTGAGACCGAGACGGTTACTACCATTATCGCGGGCAGCAAGCTCTCGGTATGCTTCCTGAAGGTGGTCATTCAGTCCACGGTGGACGGCCTGGTGGTGGAAAGACCGAGGGCGCGCTGGAGGATGTACGTGGACGACCTATGCGTGCGGCTGCGACAGCAGCATAGGCACATAGTTACGGATTTCGGAGAGACAATCGACAGCTGCTTCCGAGGCTTCGAGAGGATAGGCCTGAAGTTCTCCGTGGGCAGCAGGGGCAAAGGCGCAGTAATGGCGAGCACAAAGTGGGCGCGAAAGGCCGTGACAGGGCCGATGCAGGAGCGAGGATTGCCAGTGGTGAGGGCCTGTCCTTACCTGGGGGTCGACATCGTCACGCACGGCGCGGCGGTGAAGACCAAGAGCGGCAAGAGACACGCCACCATGAAGGTCAGGAGTCATAGGCTGCCCGCCTTAAAGGGCGGGCGAAAAATGACCAAGGGTGTTGGCCTGGTGTACAAGTGCGGCTTGAAGCGCTCGGTTATGTATGGATGCTAGTGCCTAGGCATGCCAGACCATCAGCTTCGACAGCTACGGCGAGAGGCAGGGCGACTTCTACCAGGTGGACGAGGGGCCCGAAGCCTCACCTTGCAGCTGGCAGTGGCGCAGGAAGAGCCTACGTACGAGATCACCGAGGCGCCCATAGTGTGGTGGGCGCGTGCAGTGTGGCATGGTGCGCACGACGAGGATGGAGGAGGTCAATGGGACAACATAGTCACCATGTTGCAGCAGGCATGGCGGCGACAGCAGCAGGAGGTTGGCATGAAACCCGCTTGGGCCCGAGTGCGAGGACCAGCAGGGGCTGTCATCATGTCAATAAGGAGGGCTACGTGGACATGGCCTGCGTGGCACACTTTCGTATCGAAGGAGGGCTGCGAGTTGAACATGCAGGAGGTGTGCCCCATGGACATCGCGGCGATGGTGCGCAAGGACGTGCAGGCAACCCTTTGGGAGGAATGGACGCAGGCGGAGGAGTTCAAGAGCCTGGGCCCAATGCCGTTGTTGGCGCCAGCGGTTGCGCAGTTGCGAGCACGTGAGTTCCCGAAGCATGCGAATAATGCGGCGAAGAAGGTCTTCATCGGAGGCGCGTGGACAATGGACAAGCTTTGCAGGTGCAACATCGTGCCCGCGGACATCTGCTTGGCTTGTGGAGAGGCAGTGGGCACCGAGCACCATCGGTACTACAAGTGCGACGCGCTCAGGGGCCAGAGGCTGCAGGCGCAGGCGGACTGGCAGCACGTGGCGGAGCAGCAGGACACCAATATGCTGTGGTCGCGCAGGCTGGTGAGGTCGCCAGAGGCGGACTGGAAGTTCGTGGGTCTCGAGGAGGACCAGTACTACGGGCAAGTGGTCGACGGTGAGGAAGACTACTTCACAGGCGACACTGTCTGCGATGGCTCGAAGCTCGGATACAGCGACTGGGCGCAGACGGGTTGGGCGGCTATGTCCCTCACCGACCATGGCGCCGCGAAGATGCAGATGTGGGGCCCGCTGCCGTGCTCGTTACCGATCCGCAGGAGGGTTAAGAGGGCCGAGATGTGGGCCTTCCTCAAGGTGCTGGAGCGGATGTTGCCGCCAGGTCGAGTTTACACAGACCACAAGGGCATCGTGGAGGGCTTGCAGAGAGGGGGGCGGTGGTGCACGAGCTGGAAGCGACCACGCGCAGACCTGTGGCGAAGGATCTGGCACAAGGTGAAGGACATGGACCTTGATATTCACTGCGTGATGCACGTGGAGGCCCACAGGTCCAAGAGCAGGATCGAGCAGGACCTGAAGATCGCGAACGGCAACAGAGAGGTTGACCTGTTGGCGAAGGCGGGCGCGGAGATGGACGCGCACTACGGCAAGCACCAGGCGCTGGAGGACCTCGCAGGGCGAGTGCGCTGGGCGCTGCAGAACATTGGTTGGTGGTGCCAAAAGATGGGCGGTACGTGGCCAGACGTGCCGCCCAAAGAGAAAGGAGTGCCTAGGCGAAGAGTGCCGAAGCCGACGCTGGCCCTGACCGAGCACGACGTCGTGGAGACGGGCGGCTGGCAGGTGTGCATAAGGTGTGGTCTTCGTGCGGCGTCCAAGCCGATGCGCCTGAAGATGTGGCGGGCGGAATGCGTGCGACCACGTTGGCAGGCAACGGGTTCGAGCAGTGCGGGAACAGGCAGTTCGTTGGAGGCCAGCGTGGCTATCGCAGCGGCGGCTGCAGCAGCAGCAGCAGCAGCAGCGCGGCCTGGAGAACGACGCGAAGAACGTGCTGAGCCTGAGGAGCAGGGCAGGCCGCATCGTGTCGAAGTCCATGGTCCGTACGTGGTGTGTGTGGTGTGCGGTGCCCACTCGGCAAGGCGTAGGGCGGGCCTGGGGGCTGCATGCCCAGGCCCGCTAGCGCCCCGTGGGCGCTCCACCAAGGACGATGCGAAGAGGAAGAAGCGGGGCAAGATTCTGGCGGGTAAGAATCCGCAGAACGGCAAGCCGCTGGAGCAGGGCGCTGTTGTCCTGCTTGTGCGGCGAGGGGCTTGAGGTGCTGCTCCAGAAGCGGCCGAAGGGGGCGTTCAACTATGTGAGCATGGAGAACGCGGTGATGGCCGTGCTGGAGGGCAACCAGCGGGGCCAGGCCATCCAGGCCTGAGGCATGCCGCCGTCTGCGGCGAACGAGTCCCGTGGCGGGATCCGCTGGGGGCTTGGGGGAGGACAAAAAAAGGCCTCTTGGGGGACTCTTGGGGGCCTTTTGGGGCCTCTGGGCACCTTCTTGGGGCCGCCTGGGGCCCTCTCGGGGCGGAAAGGTAGAGTTTTCGGTTCGTGGGCTCCTTCTTGGGCCTCACTTGGGGGCCTCTGGGGCGGTTTTGGGGCGATCTTGGGGGCTTCGTGGGCCATCGTGGAGCGTCGGGAAGCCGAAGAGGCGAGAACGCCCAAATCCTGCAAACATCCTAGGAACATCATGATTTTTGCCTCTTGTGGGCCCTCTCGGGAGGCCTATGGAGGTCTCTTTGGGCGCGTCTTGGAGGCTTTTAGGGCCGTCTTAGGGCTATTTTGGGCGTCTTGGACCGACCGTTCAGCGACTCGGAGCTCTCTAGGGGCGTCCTGGGAGCTTGTTTGGGCCCTCTGGGCTCATCTTGGGGCCCTCTTGGGCCCGAAGGAACTCACGCGAGGAGACGTGACACAAGCCTCCGACGAGACGCGCCACGCCCCTGTAGGTTTTGGCAATTTGGGGTCCGGGCCCCTCAACGACTCCTCAGGAGTCAGGACTGAAGCTTGGAGGATGGTGCCCCGGAGCTGAGGGCACGCCCACTCTGTGCCCAGCGGCGCACGGTGGCGGACATTGTTGACACGGAGGCGTGGGAGGGGGTATGGGAAGCCAGGGAGTAGCTTAGTGGGCCCCGGAAGTGGCAGGGCCGTTTTTTCACCGTTTCCGAAACAGTGTCCCTTGAAAATGGAAACGGCAACAAAAACGGCGACCGGAAACGACAACAAAAACGGCTCCAGGATTGGAACCGGAGCGGGAACCCGTAAAAGAACGGCGACGGAACCGGAACAAAAAACGGCGTCGAAAGCGGCAACAAAACGGCAGAACGGAACCGGTAAAAAAACGGCCCTGTCGTTTCCAGGGCCCACTAAGGGGAGTAGCACGGAGGTGAGACAGAGGACGTGGATCGGGGGCCACACTCAATCTGGACGCCCGAAATGGGTACGGAAAGAATGGGTACAATGCCCAACAGCAGTTCCCCTGTTCATTTTGAACAGGACTCGCTGTCCGCGTCGCCGCGGCCGGTGTCCATTCGAGACAGGAGGCCGCCTGCCCAACAGCGGCCGCTGTTGGTTTGGGACAACATTTGTTGTTGGGCATTGCACCCATTCTTTCCGTGCCCATTTCGGGCGTCCAAATTCAACAGGGCAAGGCTCAGGGCGGGAGACGCGTCGACCCGTAATCGCTGGCCCGGCAGCCCACCCCGCCAGGGAGCGTACGGGTTTGCTGGGGAGGGCCCATAGCCGACCTGTCAGCGATGCATCACGAGGAGGAGGAGGAGGAGGAGGAGGAGGAGGAGGAGGAGGAGGAGGAGGAGGAGGAGGAGGAGGAGGAGGAGGAGGAGGAGGAGGAGGAGGAGGAGGAGGAGGAGGAGGAGATTCCAGTTCGATGTCCCCCTCCATGAGCCGGGCCCCCCCTGACGTTCCCCCTCAGGGAGGCGGAAGGGAGAGAGGCGAGATGCTGGATCGAGTTCCCCCCGGGCAGGACCTCACCCCGCTCGCCGCCGTGGGGGGCCTCGGTGGCGCTTGTGGATCCGGTGCTGCTGCTGTTGCCGCTCCTGCTGCCTCTGCTGTCGTTGCTCCCCTCCTCCCTCTTCCCCCTTTTGCCTCCTTGGCCCCTCTCTGCTCTCCTCCCCCTCCGTTGCCTCCCCCGTCACCTCCCCGCCCGCCCTCCTCGAGGCGCAGCTCGAGCGCAGCGCTCGTCACAGAGCGAGCGCCCAGGCCAGTCGCGCCGAGCGCAGGCCACAGGCGGTCTCGCCCCGGACACTGCCAGGCGCGGAGCCCTTGCAGTTCAGGTCTGAGCAGCCCGAAGGCGGCCTCACCCAGACCACGGGCTCGCGCCTCAAAGCAGCGTCGCACCACCTTTGCCGCAATCCTCCCTCCTCCCTTGCCTCCAAGTGGCGGGGCCGGTGCCCGGCACGCCTGGCCCTTGGTGATGTGTGCTGCGGTGAGAGGGCAGAGTTGGGGACGCCCCGAGGGTGCTCACCTTGGAGCCCTTCCTTTTCACGACCTGTCGATGGCAGCACGCGGCCCTGACCGCGGCTGCTCCCCCATTTCCGCAGGTGCAGCATTGAGGCAGCCAGAGGTTGCCATCGGTGGAGCATGGTCTGTGGCCCTGGCTGGGCAGTCTTCTTGCCTCGACAGCGCACCCGCCCAGCACTGGGCGAGCGCAGCCACTCCTCGGCTTTCAAGCGCTTCTGCTCCACTGCCGGACACACGAGCACCTCTGGGCGCCCTGTGGACGCCGAGCCCGGGCGGGCCGAAGCTGGGCTGCCTCAGAAGTCGCCAACGCCACACACACACACACACATTTTAACCGTAAGGGCTTCGCCCCCTGCCGCCGGCCACCTCCCTCGGAGAATGGGCCATGGAAGAGCTAAGTCATGAGGTCTTGGCGCTGTCGTGAAGCAGTATCGAAACTTCATGCGAAGCCGATTTGCAATCAGCAAAACCAACTGATCACAAGAGGGGTTACCACACCTGGCGATTGGTAAGACGTGTATGGTTTACGGGCTTGGTTACCACACCTTGCGATTAAAGGGCCGAGGGAGTTCTCGCAGTTTGGGTTACCACGCCTTGCGATGGATGTGCGTGAAGGGTGGCACCGAATTTCAGAAATGTGGCAAATCCCCTATGTTTTTGGACCCTGACCCCGCGGATCTGCGTGAGGGGTGGCACCGAATTTCAGAAATGTGGCAAATCCCCTGTGTTTTTGGACCCTGACCCCGCGGATCTGCGTGAGGGGTGGCACCGAATTTCAGAAATGTGGCAAATCCCATGTGTTTTTGGACCCTGACCCCGCGGATCTGCGTGAGGGGTGGCACCGAATTTCAGAAATGTGGCAAATCCCATGTGTTTTTGGACCCTGACCCCGCGGATCTGCGTGAGGGGTGGCACCGAATTTCAGAAATGTGGCAAATCCCCTGTGTTTTTGGACCCTGACCCCGCGGATCTGCGTGAGGGGTGGCACCGAATTTCAGAAATGTGGCAAATCCCATGTGTTTTTGGACCCTGACCCCGCGGATCTGCGTGAGGGGTGGCACCGAATTTCAGAAATGTGGCAAATCCCCTGTGTTTTTGGACCCTGACCCCGCGGATCTGCGTGAGGGGTGGCACCGAATTTCAGAAATGTGGCAAATCCCTTGTGTTTTTGGACCCTGACCCCGCGGATCTGCGTGAGGGGTGGCACCGAATTTCAGAAATGTGGCAAATCCCATGTGTTTTTGGACCCTGACCCCGCGGATCTGCGTGAGGGGTGTCGATTTCGAGCCCCCCCAGCAATTCAGACAACGCGCCCAGGTGAGGCTGAAAATCCTGTTTGGGCCTCCCCCCCCCTCGCGCGGTCAATCAACTAGTTACAGTAACCAGCAATCAGTCAACTAGTTACAGTAACCAGCAAGAAGCAGAACTGTAACACTGGAAACTACAAGCTACAACTGGTACAGGAAACTGCGAATCCCGCGCCTCGCAGCCTGGTGGCCCCACAGAGGGGCCGGCGGATACTACGGTTAAGTCGGGCCTGTCCCTCTACAGGAGGAATGTTCAAGAATAGTCCAAAAATAGTCAGAGGACGATTTTTTGAGTATATTTTGACCATTTGGGGGTCATTTTTCAGTATTTTTTATTTTTCGTCCAAAATCCTCCAGTAGGGGGACAGGCCCGACTTGACACTACGGGGGACTTCCGCCGCCAGTCGCCAGAGTCTACGACCTGGCGAAGCTCGCTGGGCGCCGCGGCTGGCCACGGGTGACAGCGACGGTGTCGCCTATATCCCCGTCAAGTTCTGGGCCTCCTAGATCGGGTCGGAGTAGATGGGGACGGAGGATCGCGCCGCATCGCCGATGCATCGACGATGCGGCTCGATGCGGAGCCCGATTTTCTCCACGCCGACGTCGCTGGTGCGTCGCCGACGTCGGCGATGCATCGCCGATGCATCGCCGATGCATTGGCGGTGCGTCGGCGGTGCGGCGCGATGCTCCGACCCCATCTACTCGGACCCCATCTAGGAGGCCTCTTCCAGTGCTTCGGAGTGGACAGACCTCCTACCCTGACACGTCGACTGAGGCATTGGCCGTTTTCGGTTCGCGAGAGGGCGTCGCGGCCGTCATTTTTGCGGGTCTAGGTCCGTCGGTTTCGGTCCCAGTCCGTTTTCACTAAAGGGAGGTTTACTAAAGGGAGGTTTGTCCACCGCCGAAGTGCTGCCCAGTCCCACGTGTCTGCAGCGCCACCACATGTGAGGCCCCCTCTGCGTCTCCGTGCCTGTCCCGCCTCGCCGTGGCCCCTCTGGGAGGAGGAGGAGGAGGAGGAGGAGGAGGAGGAGGAGGAGGAGGAGGAGGAGGAGGAGGAGGAGGAGGAGCTCCAACTTCCCGCCGCCGGCCATGACGCACTGTGTCGCTGTCCGCGGTGCTCTCCACGAGCACGCTGTTCCGGACGACTGGCCGCTCTCTTCTCAACACTGCCTTCGTGCATTGATGGCTCCATCCGGTTCGTGCCGCCACGCTCGCGACGCGGAGCCGCCACGGCAGATATAGTTACGCCTGCTTGCCATCCAGCATCCCGCAAGCCCCGAGCCCGAACTCTCTCTGCATGGCTCGCGGCGCGATATTCTCCCGATGGCGCCTATCTTGCGAAGAAGAAGCCACGGCATACACATAAACTTTTGGAGGTCCGCGCCGATTTCTTGGATCTGCGCTGTCCCCCCCCCCCCCCCTGGCGGCGCCTCCAGCGCCGCCCCTGGCGCGCTCCGCGCGCCAGAGAGGGGGGTCCAGCGCAGATTCAAGAGAAATCCGCGCGGAGCGCCACAAATTTCTGTTTATGCCGTTTTTTCTTTTTCTGCAGGTGCCGATCTCAGTGCCGAGCTCCCAAGTCAACGGCATCCTGGGCGCCATGCGGGTACCATCCCACACCCCGACGCTGCGCCTCCCGCCCTCGCCTCTCGGGCCTGGAGCGGAGAAGGCGCAGCCTCTGCCCTGGCACGCGCCGAGGCACGTGGAGGCACGCAGTTCTGCTCTACGCTGTCTTCTGCCACGTCGAGTTCCCGTGCTCCTGCCCGCTCGACCCCCCCCCCCCGACATGACCACCCCTCTTCGCGCGGCCTCTTCGCGCGGCCACCGCGTGGGAAGGGAGTGGCCTCCTGCAGGTCTGGAGCACGCACACCATGTGTGTGTGTGTGTGTGTGCGTGTGTGTGTGTGTGTTGGAGCGTGCTTTCACCAGTCTCCAATCCTCCACCACACAGGACGGGTGCTCACATGTGTGGTGCTCTACTCGTATCCCGGTCCAGCTGGCTACTTCCTCTTCGTGCATGGAGGCACGCCCCACCACCACCAGTGCCCCAACCGATCACTTGTGGGTGGGCCGCGAACTTCTAGGACAGACTCATCGCCGATCTCTCCCGCTGCCCTGCTCCCGCCTATCTCGCCCCACGTCCCTCCTCTGTCCTTGGCATCGCTCGGACGTGTGCATTTGTTCGGCGAGGGCCATCGAGGAGCAGATTGGATCATCAAACGAACCAATACACGCACGAGATCTAAGCATGCCCTTGGAATGGACGTCCGAGCGATGGCGAGTCTCTTCTCTCATCTGCCCTCCTTTGCCCCTCCCTTTTTTTCCCTCTTCCACCCCGTCTCCGTCCTCCGTCTTTCTCCCTCCTCCCTTCCCCCTCCCTCTTCTCACTCTTTTCCTCCTCATCGTGCTTCCTCCCCCTCCTCGTCCTTATATGTCGTCCTACTTCCTCATCATCCTCGTCGTCCTCCGTGTCCTCCTCTTTCTTCTGCCTCTGATCGCCCAACTTCCATTTAATCAATCGTGCTCTTTCTCGCGATGCTGCTGCTACTGGCCTCGGCGGTGCCGCCACTGCCGCAGCAGCCGCTGATCATATATCCATCGTTTGGGAGCGAGCTCGGCTGGCGGCTGGCCAAGACCGACACCAGGGTCGCGATCGGTTAGTCTCGGGGCGTGGTATGACAGCGCGATGGGCCGAATGCACACTAAGGCTTGCAAGTGAGCGCCCCGAGTAGCATTTCTGATTGCTCCCTCGCGTGCAATAATCTTCAGAACTTTCAAGGGACACACGTTGATGCGGCGGCACGCAGGGGACGTGCCATGGCAGAACGATCGCTTGCTCGAAACACGAGATAGCTTGATGCCGACGTTTCAACGTGTAGTCGACCGATGTCAATCGCATGTGCGTAGTGTTTGGGTATGTGGTCAGCGAGCTCCGCCAGGCTACGCTGGAACCATTTTTCAAAGTAATCGATTTACAGTCGCTTTTTTCCTTGCCGACCAGACTCAGCCACAGTGTATGAGCGAAGGCGCTTAAAAAGGAGTGCAACGTCGAGCAGCCAGATGAGGAAAGGATGGCACGCGCCCCGTACTCTTGGATGGGACAGTAATCCTCCTCCTTTGGATGAAGGGGTGGACACATTCTGTCGGAACGGGTGGACGGTGGAGGGGGGTTGGAGGATGAGGAGAAGGAGGAGGAGGAGGAGGAGGAGGAGGAGGAGGAGGAGGAGGAGGAGGAGGAGGAGGAGGAGGAGAGGAGGAGGAGGAGGAGGAGGAGGAGGAGGAGGAGGAGGGAGGAGGAGAGGAGGAGGAGGAGGGGGAGAAGGAGGAGGAGGAAGAGGAGGAGGAGGAGGAAGAGGAGGAGGAGGAGGAGGAGGAGGAGGAGGAGGAGGAGGAGGGAGGAGGAGGAGGAGGAGAAGGAGGAGGAGGAGGACGAGGACGAGGACGAGGAGGAGGAGGAGGAGGAGGAGGAGGAGGAGGAGGTGGAGGAGGAGGGGGAGGAGGAGGGCGGCGAGGGGCGATTGGCAAGCTCCGTCGGAAGTTCAAACACCCTCCCTGTGATAAACAACCCATCCAGAGTGCGGGATGACGTGGGCGCAGGGCGCGGTTAATTTTGCCGACTCCCTCCTCTCCACTCGCTGACTGCCAAGCCACACCATGCCGCCACTCGACTTGGCGGCGCGTACACGGGAGTTGCCTGCGGGGGGGTGGCCCTCAAGCAGGCAGGGGGGCTTTAGCAGGCAGGGACCTTCTCAGAAGCCCTCCGGGCCTCCTGGAAGATTCTGGGCCCTTTCAGGGAGCCCCCCTGCCTGCCTGGGGACCCCCCGCCTCCTCAAGAAGGAGGCCCACCCCCTCGCCCCCCCCACGTCAGAGGAGGAGCAGATGCCGATGCCGCTGCCCGTGCCTCCACGCCAGGGCTGGAGCCGCCACGCAATCCTGGTCAGAGCGCACGTTGGTTCGGCATTAACCACACGTGCTTATACTGTGTGTTGTGTTGTGTGTGTGTGTGTGTGTGTTTTATGTGTTGTGTTGTGTTGTGTTGTGTTGTGTTGTGTTGTGTTGTGTTGTGTTGTGTTGTGTTGTGTTGTGTTGTGTTGTGTTGTGTTGTGTTGTGTGTGTGTGCGTGCGCGTGTGTGTGTGTGGTGTGTGTCTGGTGTGTGTGTGTGTGTGTGAGTGTGTGTGTGTGTGTGGGCCCCCTGCAGTTCAGTACAGCCTGTGCCGGAACTGCTCTCCCTCCCGGCGCTCCCCCCGCCGCCGCCGGCAGCTCTGTGTGGCCTCTCCTCTCTTCCCGTCGTGCCGGGGCTCCTCCTCCTCCTTCCGTGCTTTGCGGCCCTAATTTGCATCCTGTTGCTCCCCATCTGCCGCTCAGTCCGCTGAGCCGCGTTCCCCCTAGCTTCAGCTCAGTGCAGCTCAGTGCAGCTCAGTGCAGGTCAGTGCAGCTGTTCCCCCCTCCCCGGCGCTCCCCTGCCGCAGCCGGTGACTTGCGTGAGCGGGCCCGTCTTCCTCTCTTCCTGTCGCTGCGGGGGTCTTCCTCTTCCTCCGTGCATGGTGGACTTTAATTTGCATACAGCGTGTCCCCTGTTGACAATCCGCCAGAGCAGTCACCGTCTGCCCAGTCGCCGACGCAAAAAGTGTGTGGTCCCCCCAATGGTGCGACGCGCGCGCTCAGCACTCGGATGGTGCATGCTCGGTGGCCGCCGCTTGCTCGCTCTGCCGAGAGCGCTCCGCTCTGGGACAGGGCCACGGTCTCTCCCCTGGATGTATCGTGGCCCTTTTTGGCGGGGCCCAAGAGACGGGGTCCATGCAAACAGTGGTCAGCCAGAGCGCCGGACCATGCAGGATCCTTCAGGGTAAGGGGTGCGTTTGCCGGGGTTTGGGTGCAGGATCTTGCGCAGGATCCTGCAGGATCTTGCAGGATCCTGATTGACCTGGGTTTGCATTGGCCCCGGCCAGTGCGTCCCCGATCTTGCTTCAGCATGTTCGGGCGCTGCGTAATGGGGGGGGCGATGGAGGGGCACGGCAGCTGCACGCTTCTCCCCGCCCCCCCTATGTGGCCCCCCAAACCCAATTTCAGAGGAGGAATAAGGCACCTCCATGCCGCAGCCCTTTCCTTGTTTTCTCCTTTTTGGGCCTCCTGCGTCACCGCCGCATTCGCGTGGAAATTCCGGTCGGAACTGAGGCCTCGAGAGGTCCAGGGAGCAGCGGTATCGGTACCTTTTGGTTCCCCCCATCTCGGGCAACGCCCAAAATGCCTCCCTGGTCTACTCTGGGCCGCGCACGGGCCTCGGGCCACGAAGTGCTGCCCCCCCATAAGGTCACTCCCACCCCGCCGGCCCGCTTCGATTCGATTTCCCCGGCTGCCAGTTTGAGCCGATTTGAGGTGGAGATTCCCGTTCCGAGTCCGATTCCCAGAAAGGGGGCGTGGAGGGGGGGCAGGAGGAGGAGGAGGAGGAGGAGGAGGAGGAGGAGGAGGAGGCGGAGGAGGAGGAGGAGGAGGAGGAGGAGGAGGAGGAGGAGGAGGAGGAGGAGGAGGAGGGAGGAGAGCAGGAGGAGCAGGAGGAGGAGACGAGGAGGAGGAGGAGGAGGAGGACGAGGAAGGAGGAGGAGGAGGAGGAGGAGGAGGAGGAGGAGGAGGGGGATGGGGACCCAGAAGGACGAGGTGCCTCAATCTAGGCCTCCTAGATGGGGCCAGAGTAGATGGGGTCGGGGCAGAGTCGTTCGGATGCAACCCGTGGGGGGTCGAATTCTGACTTTGCCCTGTTCCGAAATCTGACTTAATCTCGCTTCATCCCGCTCAGTTCCGCTTAATCCGGCTCAGTCCCGCTTAGTCCGCGGCCCAGTCCGGCGCAGCAGCTCCCCAATGGGTCTCAGTCCTCCCTGATTCTTCCGACGAAGACCTCGCAGTAGTTGCCTCCTAAGAGTCGGTGGTGCAGAGATGGGTCCAGAGGGATGGGGTCCCAGAAGGACAAGGTGCCTTGGGTGGACAGAGCCCCCACCCTGACACGTCGATTAGTGAATTGTCCGTTTTCGGTTCTCGAGAGGGCGCCGCGGCCGTTATTTTTCCGAGGCTTGCGCCCGCTAGGCTTGGACCCGAGGCCGTTTTCACCAAGCCACGTTTTTCTAAAGGTGTTCTGTCCATCCCCGAAAGGAGGAGGAGGAGGAGGAGGAGGAGGAGGAGGAGGAGGAGGAGGAGGAGAAGAAGTAATACTAGGAGGAGGAGGACGAGGAGGAGGAGGAGGAGGAGGAGGAGGAGGAGGAGGAGGAGGAGGAGGAGCAGGCGGAGGAGGCCTCAAACGACGAGTAAATCCACCCCTGGATCCCGTCCTGTCCTTAGGCCCCCCTCCCTCGGGGCCCCAGCTCCGAGCCGCTGGCAGAGGGGGGGCGGCGCGTCTGCCTGAGGCGTGTGCTCGGGAGCCGACTGGGGGTCCGAGGCGGCCCCTGCACCCGCCTCCGGACGCCAGGGAGGAGAGGCGAGGTGAGCTCGGGGGCGGCCAACAGGTGGGTGACGACGAGGGTTCAGTCGGGCCTGCCCCTCTACATGAGGAGCACTCAAAAACAGTAGTCAAAAAATGGTCTGGGGAGTATTTGTGTGTCAACGTTTGCCCATCTGGGGGTATTTCAGGCGTATTTTTGTTTTTTCGTCCAAACCCGCCTGTAGGGGGACATGCCCGACCTAAGACTAGGGGGGGTGGATATCATGGCTGGCCCCCCCTCGGGCCGCGCACATGCCGCCGGCCATGATTTGCACTCTCCCCCTCTTGGATGTCCCCCTCTTCGCCGCCCCCGAGGTGAGCTCGAGAAGGTTTTTTAGTTTCAAGTCGGGCATGCCCCTCTACAGGAGGAATATTCGAGCATGGTTAAAGAATAGTCTGGGAACGTTTCTCGTGTTATTTTAACTATTTTTGAATTTGTCTTAACTATTTTTAATTCTTCCTCCCAAATTCGCATGTAGGAGGATCTGCCCGACCTAATTCAGTTGCCCTCTTCGGTCTCCAGGGGCCACGCTCGGGCCCCGGGACCGTCAAGAACGGACCCGGGGTGAAGCCCTGCACCAGATGGACCCCGGGAGGGGTCAGGGGAATGGTTTTGGGCGGATTTCCCCCGTCCTGGCCGACTTTTTCTGGGCCCACTCAGCATCCCTTGGTCGCCTCCAGGTCTGATCGGCGACGTGCAGCGTGATGGCCTGGCACCCTCATTAGCGGAACAAAAAGTGGCAAAAACATAAAAACTCGGAGGTCCGCGCGGATTTCTCGGATCGGCGCTGGATCCCCCTCCCTGGCGCGTGGAGCGCGCCAGGGGCGGCGCGGGAGGGGCCGCCGGGGGCCCCCAGCGCCGATGCGAGAAGCCCGCGCGGACCTCCGAGTCGTTATGTTTACGCCACTTTTTGTTCCCCTGCTCGTGCTCTTCTTTCTCGGGCTCCGCGCCTCGGCGTCCCCTCCGCCCGGGGCACCCTCACGGGGCCCTGGGCCTCTGGCGAAGGGGCTCGTGCTCCTGGCCCGCGCTCGTGCGACCACGTCTCGGCTGTGCGCCCAATCTCTCGGAGCCAGGAGGGAAAGAAACACACAGACACAATTGATCGTCGACTCCCAGGAAACGATGGGAAGATATGGGAAGTGGGGGGGGGGAAGACGAAAACCCCGAAAGTATGGGAGAACATGGGGAATCCTGTTACTTGTGTCTATTCATTTGTGTGTCCGTGGGTCCCTTCACAGAGGACCTCCCCACAGAGGCCCTGATGCGGGTCGCGTCGCACCGCGTCGCGCCGGCCCCCCCTGCCAGCGCGCGCAGCGCGCGGGTCGCGGGAGGGGTGCGGGGGGAGGGGGGAAGGCCCGGCCCGCCCGAAGAGGTTCGGGCGGGTCTCCAAGAGCGTATGCTGCTGCAGATTTTCGAGGTTCTGCCGCCCCCACTTGCTCTCTCGTCTCTCGTGCTCGGACGGTCCTGCCTCACGACGCGGCGAGCGCCACCGCACCTGGCAGGTCCAAGACGATCGCCTTCTCCGCCCACAGGTTCGGGGCCCTAGCCGCAGTGCGCAAGGCTGGAGCTGCTCCAGGTCTGCCGACTGGCAGCCGGGGCACGTGGGGCGTTCGGGAGTGGATTGGAGGGCGGTGGGCGTCTTGA